GTTTCCAGAGGCCGTTTGTGTGTACTGTTGATGATTGTCATGCGAGTTACCGAAGGAAGGACCACCTGACTAGGCACCTTCTACTACATGAGGGGAAGACATTCAAGTGCCCTGTTGAGAACTGCAACATTGAGTTCTCTTTGCAAGGCAATATGAAAAGACACGTTGAGGAGATTCACGATGGCGGTTCCACTGCCGCCGCTGACAAAAGTCACAAACAACATGTGTGTCCAGAGATTGGATGTGGAAAGGTTTTCAGATTTGCTTCAAAGCTAAAAAAGCATGAAGATTCTCATGGTAGGCTCTCTTTTTTGGTTTTATGTACGAATTAGTGAAATGTCCTGTTGGTTACAATTTTGAAGAAAGCCTTTATCATGCAGTTAAGCTGGAATCAATAGAGGTGGTGTGCTTAGAACCAGGTTGCATGAAGCATTTTGCTAATGACCAGGGCCTTAGAGCTCATGTAAATACATCCCATCAATATATGACCTGTGACATTTGTGGGTCTAAGCAACTGAAGAAGAATATTAAGCGTCACCTTCGTTCACATGAAGCTGACAGCAGTTCCTCGAAGACCTTTCAATGCGAGTTTAAGGGTTGTAGCTGCACATTCTCTAAAGTAATAATGTTAAATCTAGTGGTTGTGCATAATATTATTGAATTCTCAATTTGGTTTCGAGTGAACATTATATTAATCTGTTCTTCATTGTGTCAACAGAAATCTAATCTTGATAAGCATAAGAAGGCTGTGCACCTTGAAGAAAAACCTTTTCGGTGAGGGTTTCCTGATTGTGGCATGAGATTTGCTTACAAACATGTGCGGGATAATCACGAAAAAACTGCTAAACATGTTTTTACCCTCGTAAGTTCTACTTTTTTGCTTTGGTATCCGGTTGTGCCAAAAGTTATCTATCTGACAAGAAATGGTGTGTGAAAGTTTTGCTTTTGAATTGTCATACTCAAAGGTTTTTTTGATGCAGGGTGATTTTGAAGAAGCTGATGCAGAGTTCAGGTCAAGGCCGAGGGGAGGGAGGAAGAGAGAATGTCCTACTATTGAAATGTTAATCAGGAAGAGGGTTACCCCACCCAGTAGATTGGAGGATTGGTTATTTATGCAGGACAGAGAGTAGAGTGCATTGAGAATTGTATTCCCAATACAAGTATGCAAATATGTTGGTAGTATTATATATATTTAGGATTAGTATTAGTCTTAGGAGATATAGAACATGTAGGGCATCAAAGATTAAACCGTGTAAGAAATTGAAGGGAGGGAGAACCATCTTTGATTGTTCTATGTAACATATAAAGTTCGTCAATTTTAAATTTGATTGAATCAATTAATAAAATAAATATATAGAGATAATGGGTTTTAGTAATAATCTTATTATAAAATTATTTTTTTATTTTATAATGTACATATCATATATATATTTGAAATATTTAGAGTTATTTTTATTAGATAATAAAATTTTCAATATTATTTATTCTGTTTATCCAATTGAAATCAATTATAATTCAATAAGGTGGAATATAAGTAAATTAAATAATACATAAAAGTTTTATGTAGTATTTAAATAATTAAAAATAATAGCATGATCTATATTGCTGTAACACTTACGTAAGTTATAAACGAATTAGTTAAATTAGGAAATCTAATTTTAAAATAAACGATAAAGGAATTAAATAAACCAAAAGCTGAATTTGATTTTAAAAACCTATCAAATTAATTTCAAATCAACTCTGGAATAATGTAAATTTATATATATTTAAGGTTTAGTTGCTTACTTTAAAAATCTATCAAATTAACGGAATGGTTAATGTGGATGAAGTTGATAGTTTTTTTTTTTTTTAAATAGTAACCAAATTGACACAGCAATAAAACTATGAACAAAACTTATATATAAAGTCGCATAGACTACTTAAACTGACCATTCTGATCGGGTTCAGTGATGTTTTATCAAGAATTTAAAAAGAAATATTTAAATTTTGGCACTCGTATGATTCTGTTAAACGATATTTATATGAATTTTAGTATTAATTCAAGTTTAACTTGTTTTTAACTATTGTGATATTTTCACTAATACACATGTATAATATATATAATTNGTAAAACCTAGAAGCTCACACACTCTTCATTCGCAGCTTCACAAAATCGCCGCACATAACACCATCCTCATATTTACATTGAATTTCTGCACTCTTCGATTTGTTCTCTGTATCTCATCACCAAAACAATGGTTGAAGCCGTAACAATTGAAGAAAGGCCAAAGTCCAGAGATATTAGACGTTATTTCTGCCAGTACTGCGGTATCTGCAGATCCAAGAAAACCCTAATTACCTCTCACATCAATTCGCAACACAAGGTAGTTTTATTTTCTGTATTTTTGTTTGTTCTTTTGAAAAATTAAACCCTTCACAATCATCCTTATTTAAATTATTACGATTTGGTAGATGTATACGGTCATGTAAGACTTCGTTAATTTTGGTGTCTTTTTAGGAAGAGGATGAGAAGGCTAGAAAAGAAACAGATCCTGAAACGGAGTCTTCAAAATCCAACACCTGCGAGGAATGTGGTGTCACTTTCAAGAAACACGCATATTTGTTGCAGCACATGCAAAGTCACTCGCCTGAGGTATCCTTTACATTCTTAAATATAAGACAATTTATAGATGGAAAATTCTGAAAGCACATGACAAACATATACTTTTTTTATCAGCAAAGAATAATAGTGCTCTAACAGAAACATATTCTTGTGTAATGTTTTATTTACTGTTGTGTTATTTGAAACATATTTTGATTGTGGGAGAAGTAGCTCTTGTTGTGACTTAATAGTATTGTTGCATTAGGCTGAAGATACAAATTTTGCAGGAATATAATCTATAAGATTCTAAAATCATTGGAAAATTATGGATTAATAGTGTGAAGCATTGGATCCCAGACAACGAACTCCAAAATGCACGAGGCAACGAGTTTAGACTTGATGGATCAGTATCAGGTAGGGAGACCTCCTGTGAAGCTCCATCAAGGATGCCTCAGTCACGCTCTTTGAATTTGAGGTTGGCAGTCTGTTCATTTGTTTCTTGTTCTTCTCGGGGTATGATGATGTTTATGTTTGGGTTTTTTGTCGTTAACCAATTTTGTGATGTTTCCAGAGGCCGTTTGTGTGTACTGTTGATGATTGTCATGCGAGTTACCGAAGGAAGGACCACCTGACTAGGCACCTTCTACTACATGAGGGGAAGACATTCAAGTGCCCTGTTGAGAACTGCAACATTGAGTTCTCTTTGCAAGGCAATATGAAAAGACACGTTGAGGAGATTCACGATGGCGGTTCCACTGCCGCCGCTGACAGAAGTCACAAACAACATGTGTGTCCAGAGATTGGGTGTGGAAAGGTTTTCAGATTTGCTTCAAAGCTAAAAAAGCATGAAGATTCTCATGGTAGGCTCTCTTTTTTGGTTTTATGTACGAATTAGTGAAATGTCCTGTTGGTTACAATTTTGAAGAAAGCCTTTATCATGCAGTTAAGCTGGAATCAATAGAGGTGGTGTGCTTAGAACCAGGTTGCATGAAGCATTTTGCTAATGACCAGGGCCTTAGAGCTCATGTAAATACATCCCATCAATATATGACCTGTGACATTTGTGGGTCTAAGCAACTGAAGAAGAATATTAAGCGTCACCTTCGTTCACATGAAGCTGACAGCAGTTCCTCGAAGACCTTTCAATGCGAGTTTAAGGGTTGTAGCTGCACATTCTCTAAAGTAATAATGTTAAATCTAGTGGTTGTGCATAATATTATTGAATTCTCAATTTGGTTTCGAGTGAACTTTATATTAATCTGTTCTTCATTGTGTCAACAGAAATCTAATCTTGATAAGCATAAGAAGGCTGTGCACCTTGAAGAAAAACCTTTTCGGTGCGGGTTTCCTGATTGTGGCATGAGATTTGCTTACAAACATGTGCGGGATAATCACGAAAAAACTGCTAAACATGTTTTTACCCTCGTAAGTTCTACTTTTTTGCTTTGGTATCCGGTTGTGCCAAAAGTTATCTATCTGACAAGAAATGGTGTGTGAAAGTTTTGCTTTTGAATTGTCATACTCAAAGGTTTTTTTGATGCAGGGTGATTTTGAAGAAGCTGATGCAGAGTTCAGGTCAAGGCCGAGGGGAGGGAGGAAGAGAGAATGTCCTACTATTGAAATGTTAATCAGGAAGAGGGTTACCCCACCCAGTAGATTGGAGGATTGGTTATTTATGCAGGACAGAGAGTAGAGTGCATTGAGAATTGTATTCCCAATACAAGTATGCAAATATGTTGGTAGTATTATATATATTTAGGATTAGTATTAGTCTTAGGAGATATAGAACATGTAGGGCATCAAAGATTAAACCGTGTAAGAAATTGAAGGGAGGGAGAACCATCTTTGATTGTTCTATGTAACATATAAAGTTCGTCAATTTTAAATTTGATTGAATCAATTAATAAAATAAATATATAGAGATAATGGGTTTTAGTAATAATCTTATTATAAAATTATTTTTTTATTTTATAATGTACATATCATATATATATTTGAAATATTTAGAGTTATTTTTATTAGATAATAAAATTTTCAATATTATTTATTCTGTTTATCCAATTGAAATCAATTATAATTCAATAAGGTGGAATATAAGTAAATTAAATAATACATAAAAGTTTTATGTAGTATTTAAATAATTAAAAATAATAGCATGATCTATATTGCTGTAACACTTACGTAAGTTATAAACGAATTAGTTAAATTAGGAAATCTAATTTTAAAATAAACGATAAAGGAATTAAATAAACCAAAAGCTGAATTTGATTTTAAAAGCCTATCAAATTAATTTCAAATCAACTCTGGAATAATGTAAATTTATATATATTTAAGGTTTAGTTGCTTACTTTAAAAATCTATCAAATTAACGGAATGGTTAATGTGGATGAAGTTGATAGTTTTTTTTTTTTTTAAATAGTAACCAAATTGACACAGCAATAAAACTATGAACAAAACTTATATATAAAGTCGCATAGACTACTTAAACTGACCATTCTGATCGGGTTCAGTGATGTTTTATCAAGAATTTAAAAAGAAATATTTAAATTTTGGCACTCGTATGATTCTGTTAAACGATATTTATATGAATTTTAGTATTAATTCAAGTTTAACTTGTTTTTAACTATTGTGATATTTTCACTAATACACATGTATAATATATATAATTTTGGGAATAGTATAAAATTCAATACAATGTATTACAATTCAGTAAATTTAAATTAAAATAATACGTTTGGGATATTACTAAAATATATAAATTATAAATTATTATTGTCATAAATTACTTCATGAGCCTTTTTCACACGTCTTTCAATATTGTTCTAACAATTTAAACATTTTATTGAATTTTTATCAAATCTTTCACATAGTATATCATATCTTATAAAGAGTTATTCATAAAATCTTACACATAATTCCTTTTGAGAACCTATATCCAATCATAGTTACAAATTTCAATAGTTTGAATGAGAAATTTTGTTATCCAATTGATATCTTTAGTTATATAATTTAAAAACTCACTTAGACTCTTTAAATTTTTGCCTAGACACTTAAAAATTTCAACTAGGCAGGAAATAACCGAATCTTGATATAATTCCTAACATAAGGAAGCTCCTGTTTGGTGATGTTTTATTAAGTATAATTATGTGCTAGTGCGAATTTTAAAACGAAATATTATTTAGTAGTTAGCAGTTGTGGGAATCTGTTAAATGGTATCTATGAGAATTTTCAGAAAAGAATTTTAGTATTAATTCAAGTTTAACTTGTTTTTGAACTATTGTGATATTTTCACTTATACATATTCAGTAAATCTAAATTAAAAAATACGTTTGGGATATATTGAATTTAATCGAAATTCAGATTTGATACTAAAAATCTATCAAATTAACTCATACAGTAGTTTTTTTTATAAACCACTTATTCATATTTCTATTCTTAAACACACAGTGTAATTCTCAGATAAGTTAATTATGAAAATATATTTACTTGAAAAATAGAATGACATGCAGAAAAGCGTTGAATTTAAATAAGAGATTGCATTTAGTCAGATGATTTCTCTGAAACCGATTCAAGACACGAAACTGATGAATATAATCTTAAAATAGTAAATTGCGCAGTCAGACATTAGTTAATAGCAAATAGTGTAAGTCAGAGTCGCTCTAATGTTCTGGTTCCTGTCCTTTCTCCCAATGGCTCTTCAGAAAAGTGACACGTGTGCATCACTTCCCACACTTCCCAAACCTTTGGTCTTAGTCAAAACAAAACCCCATTTTTTGTTGCCGACTCCATTGCATCTCTCTGCCTCTTTCTCTCTCCATTTTCTCTCCCTTTAGAAAACTTGTGGGCACAACTGCATGACTCTTCTTTGATACTCATTCAACAACTTTCTTTCTAACCAAGCACACACTTATGTAAGACTTCTTCAACAGACACATACATTATATATTTAATCAACATGGAACCCTCTTCCAATCATGACATTGCTCACCCTTCTTCACATCCATTCATGTCCTTCACAGGACACCATTCCTCATGGATGCCCTCGATTTCTTCCCTCACAAGAGTAAAGAAACCCAAGATGATGATGATGAAGATGATGATAATGATAATGATAATGACATTCATCATCGTCAAACCCTCGACTTTCATGTAGATGTATGTGCTTTTTACATCCATCCATGCAAACTCATATATTTCTTCACATTTTTAAACCTAACCCTAGTTCGCTATGTGAAAATCTTATGTTTTTGTAATGTTGTTCATCTATAGACCAGTTTGGATCTCCTTACCAAGAACACGGGTGGCAACAGATCAGTTGAAGAAAGTGATGCTTTGGAAACTATGGATGAAAAGAGGGTAAGTGAATATTTGTGTCAGTGTTGTATATTAATGCAATTTCAGCACACAAAGTAGGCAAATTTTATAATATGTAATTAGTTTATTTATTCTTATGGGTACAGTTTGTAGCTTTGGTAACTGAATTGCATCAAGTGAATGCTGAAAATCAAAGATTAAGAGAGTTGATCGATCAGATGAACAATAACAGCAACGCCGTACGCATGCAACTTATCAAGATAACGCAGAAGCAGCATAACCTACGGGTAATTTATTTGTTTATTTATTTATGTATTTCTACAACTCGTCGATTATCAAAGAATATATACGGTGTAGAACATACGTATTGTTTTTTGCTTGGTTTTGTGTAGAAGAATGGAGTGGATGGAGAGAAAGAAGAGATGGTTCCGAGGTCATTTTTAGACATTGGTGTGGCTGAAAAGGATGAGGCTTCGCAGCAACCCTCAGAGGAAAAACTCAGAGAGAGCAAAAGCGTGGTTGATTTGATGCATCGGTGTAAGGGTAATGAGAAAGATGTTGAAGATAAGTTGGATTGTGGAAGGGAAAGCTCAAAAGCTAGAATGGAAGGTGACCAAGAACTTTCTAACAAAGTTCCTAAATTGGATCAAAATTCAGAAACCTTGTCAATGATCAAGAAAGCCCGTGTGTCAGTTCGTGCAAGATCAGACTCCACAATGGTTAGTAAACTAAATAATAAGCAGAAATGAAAATGGCAAATGCAACTATGTATAATATTGTGCATGTATTAGCACCAAGTTAATTATTTCACAAAAATTCAGTATATCTAATTAATGTGTTCTATGAAAGACCACTATGGATGATGAGAAATTAGGAGTTAATGTTGAGTTGGATGTGTAAAATATAATAGAAAGCAAATTTGATGGNTTTAAATTTTTGCCTAGACACTTAAAAATTTCAACTAGGCAGGAAATAACCGAATCTTGATATAATTCCTAACATAAGGAAGCTCCTGTTTGGTGATGTTTTATTAAGTATAATTATGTGCTAGTGCGAATTTTAAAACGAAATATTATTTAGTAGTTAGCAGTTGTGGGAATCTGTTAAATGGTATCTATGAGAATTTTCAGAAAAGAATTTTAGTATTAATTCAAGTTTAACTTGTTTTTGAACTATTGTGATATTTTCACTTATACATATTCAGTAAATCTAAATTAAAAAATACGTTTGGGATATATTGAATTTAATCGAAATTCAGATTTGATACTAAAAATCTATCAAATTAACTCATACAGTAGTTTTTTTTATAAACCACTTATTCATATTTCTATTCTTAAACACACAGTGTAATTCTCAGATAAGTTAATTATGAAAATATATTTACTTGAAAAATAGAATGACATGCAGAAAAGCGTTGAATTTAAATAAGAGATTGCATTTAGTCAGATGATTTCTCTGAAACCGATTCAAGACACGAAACTGATGAATATAATCTTAAAATAGTAAATTGCGCAGTCAGACATTAGTTAATAGCAAATAGTGTAAGTCAGAGTCGCTCTAATGTTCTGGTTCCTGTCCTTTCTCCCAATGGCTCTTCAGAAAAGTGACACGTGTGCATCACTTCCCACACTTCCCAAACCTTTGGTCTTAGTCAAAACAAAACCCCATTTTTTGTTGCCGACTCCATTGCATCTCTCTGCCTCTTTCTCTCTCCATTTTCTCTCCCTTTAGAAAACTTGTGGGCACAACTGCATGACTCTTCTTTGATACTCATTCAACAACTTTCTTTCTAACCAAGCACACACTTATGTAAGACTTCTTCAACAGACACATACATTATATATTTAATCAACATGGAACCCTCTTCCAATCATGACATTGCTCACCCTTCTTCACATCCATTCATGTCCTTCACAGGACACCATTCCTCATGGATGCCCTCGATTTCTTCCCTCACAAGAGTAAAGAAACCCAAGATGATGATGATGAAGATGATGATAATGATAATGATAATGACATTCATCATCGTCAAACCCTCGACTTTCATGTAGATGTATGTGCTTTTTACATCCATCCATGCAAACTCATATATTTCTTCACATTTTTAAACCTAACCCTAGTTCGCTATGTGAAAATCTTATGTTTTTGTAATGTTGTTCATCTATAGACCAGTTTGGATCTCCTTACCAAGAACACGGGTGGCAACAGATCAGTTGAAGAAAGTGATGCTTTGGAAACTATGGATGAAAAGAGGGTAAGTGAATATTTGTGTCAGTGTTGTATATTAATGCAATTTCAGCACACAAAGTAGGCAAATTTTATAATATGTAATTAGTTTATTTATTCTTATGGGTACAGTTTGTAGCTTTGGTAACTGAATTGCATCAAGTGAATGCTGAAAATCAAAGATTAAGAGAGTTGATCGATCAGATGAACAATAACAGCAACGCCGTACGCATGCAACTTATCAAGATAACGCAGAAGCAGCATAACCTACGGGTAATTTATTTGTTTATTTATTTATGTATTTCTACAACTCGTCGATTATCAAAGAATATATACGGTGTAGAACATACGTATTGTTTTTTGCTTGGTTTTGTGTAGAAGAATGGAGTGGATGGAGAGAAAGAAGAGATGGTTCCGAGGTCATTTTTAGACATTGGTGTGGCTGAAAAGGATGAGGCTTCGCAGCAACCCTCAGAGGAAAAACTCAGAGAGAGCAAAAGCGTGGTTGATTTGATGCATCGGTGTAAGGGTAATGAGAAAGATGTTGAAGATAAGTTGGATTGTGGAAGGGAAAGCTCAAAAGCTAGAATGGAAGGTGACCAAGAACTTTCTAAAAAAGTTCCTAAATTGGATCAAAATTCAGAAACCTTGTCAATGATCAAGAAAGCCCGTGTGTCAGTTCGAGCAAGATCAGACTCCACAATGGTTAGTAAACTAAATAATAAGCAGAAATGAAAATGGCAAATGCAACTATGTATAATATTGTGCATGTATTAGCACCAAGTTAATTATTTCACAAAAATTCAGTATATCTAATTAATGTGTTCTATGAAAGACCACTATGGATAATGAGAAATTAGGAGTTAATGTTGAGTTGGATGTGTAAAATATAATAGAAAGCAAATTTGATGGTCCAAAACGTATTTAGCTAGAAGCTTTTGCGACTTTCGATACAGTGATCATTAGCATAAACATATAACACCCATCTTTAACTAATAAGGAATTGTTGTAAATTTTATGAGATTATAGCATGAAAATTCATATAATTTTAAAAGTTGATTAACAAATGAATCATATATGTAGAAATTATTGATTCAAGAGAAATTTCATTATTATAACAGATTGCAGATGGATGCCAATGGCGAAAGTATGGGCAGAAGATGGCAAAAGGGAATCCATGTCCAAGGGCCTATTATCGTTGCACAATGAGTACAGGCTGCCCAGTGCGTAAACAAGTATGCATGCTTCAAAACTGACTTACTTTTGCACTAAAATCATAAAAAAAAAAAACACACTTTTATCTCTAACATGAGCACATTATAAAGAAACAACGTCGTACACGAACAAGACATGTTATGTTTGTTGACAGGTACAAAGGTGTGCAGAAGATCGAAGTGTGTTGATCACTACATATGAAGGACAGCATAACCATCCACTTCCTCCCACAGCTCAGGCAATGGCCTCAACCACATCTGCAGCTGCTTCAATGCTTCTTTCTGGATCAATGCCAAGCTCAGATGGCCTAATCAATCCAACCATTTTGGAAAATGCTTCACTTCCATGCTCTCAAAACATGGCAACTCTCTCTGCCTCAGCTCCATTTCCCACCATCACTCTCGATCTCACTCAAAATCCTACCAATTCCTCACACCACCAAAGGGATCCACACAACCAACTTAGCCTCCTTTCTCCCCTTTTGGCTCAGAAGTTCATGTCAGTTCCAAAATTATTCGGACACTCACTGTGTGATCAAACTAAGCTTGCTGGCTTACATGAATCTCAGGGAATGGACGCTGCAGCTCCATCGTTTGCTAACTCACTGAATGCAGCAACTGCTGCTATCACTGCAGACCCCAATTTCACTGCTGCACTTGTGGCAGCCATAACATCTGTCATGGGAAGTTCACATTCAAACACCAGTGGTACCAGTAATACCACTGGCGATCACCACTGCAATAATAATGCATGAGACCTTCGGAAATTGGTTTAGTTCATGTTTTCTTTCTTATTCAAGATAGTTATAGATTTTTTTAGTTGGTTCATTTCATGCATGCCAAGGATCTTAATCTCTATATTATAGTCTTCTTTATTTGAAATTGTTATCTTAATAATGCATTCTGTTTTTAATGCTTTTGATATGGCCAATAGAATAAAAATTGTTTTTTTTTTCATGTGTGCTCTGCAAAAGTAGTTGAACGTTTCTGCAGTTTCTGGTCTTGTGCTTGACAATTCTAATGACCAAACTATATTAGAGAGTTTTTATCTTATCGATTCGTTAAAAATAATTTATAATAAGATTTTTAATTTGGTCTTTTGTATTTCAAAATAATTAATGTTATGTTTATCTTCTAAAATGTCATTTAATCACGTCACCAAGGTAAGTTTATTGATTTTAATAATAAATAGGCTAAGCGACAGTTTATTTTGGTCTATTTTACGAGATAGATATATACAACTTAAGAGAATTAAATATCCAACCCAACTCACTTTTTCTGTAGTGGACGTAACTTATCTTATATTGTGATATTTACTTTGAACAAATTTCTTATTTTTAAATTTATTTTGAAAATTTGATATAGTGTATTTTGTGTTGATGGTTGGACTCATTTTTCACACCATTTATGGTCCAAACTTAGTTTAAATCCATAATTTTCATATGAATAAAATTAAAAGAACATGTTTTACATCTTGAATAAGATAAAAAAAATTATTTAAAATCATATTAAAAACTTCTAAAAAACAGTGGTTTTGAAAAAAATAAATGAGTTGGAATGATTCTTTTTAGAAAGTAAGGTAAAGTAAATTCACTTTTTTTTATCAAAAAATCATATTTAGCTAGCATCATCATGTAGTTTAAGAGATCAAGTATCAATTTATGATGACAATTAAATTAAATTAAACTCATTTTAAAAGTAAAATAAATAGCCAAAATATAGTTGACCTATGTATTATAATAAATTTATTTGTGTGTGTGTGTATACTTTGTAAGTTATCTATGGTCTATAGTAAAAAAAAAACACCATTTAGCAAAAACAAATGGATGAATGAAGAAAACTGTTTTCTGCACCCCTAATGAATTGTTCTGCATTGATCCGGAGAGTTCCTTTTACCTTTTTTCTAAATTTCAAAAATATATTTTGGAATAAATGAGAAGTAAAAGAAAAAAAGGTTGAAAATAACCATCAAGCGGCCCAAAATGCAGCTTGGACATCACAAATGTTGGCCCATTATTGAAAAGAAAGGTTTACTTTTTGATTTTGAAAGCAGGTCGTCTCCTCTTGAAGCCTGCGAAGGCAACACACATTGTTCCTTCTTGCAGAGTCGAAACACAGTTTTGTAGCCGTTGTCTGCCTTCAAATAAAATAAATAAATAAATTACTCATTTCCTACAAACGATCTTCACGGTATTCTATTTCATCATCATAACTTTTCATTCTGATTTCAATAAAGTATTGGATTGGTCATGCTTCCACTATTATTACTTTTTTTTCTCTCGTGATTTTTAGTAGTTGTTTTTTTCGCCCGGATTCCGTTGCCGTCTTTTTTCAAGCGTGGTTTTTAAGCATATACCTTTATGCTCCTCTTTTTTGTTGGCATTAAAAGAGTGATTCCACTTATACCAGTTTATTCTATTTCCACTTCTTTAAATTTCATTTCAACTTACTTTTTGTGCCCTTTTGCTTACCATCTTCAGAGTTGAAGGATTTGAGATTTGAGCGTGCAATTTATGGTTTTTTGTGTGCTTTTGTGATAATATATAAGTATTCTGTCTTGTGTAGTCGCTCTAATAGAACACAATGAGTGCTGCGTCTTTGTTGTTCTCCTGCTCTATGCATGTGGGTGTGTTTCATCCCAAGCTGGCTGCAAAATCCTCTGTTTGTTGTTTTCACAATCAGCCCTGGAATTATTTGAAGCCAAAAACATCATTTGGGCATTCTGGGATCTCGGAAAAATCTAAACTTTCACGTAAAGGTGATGAGATTATGTGGAGGGCAGGGGCTCTTCAAGTTGAAAGTGCTCCCTCCTCTGTGGGGCAAAATTTTCAGTTTGATGATGTCATTGAGGCCCAGCAATTTGACAGAGAGACTCTCAATGCCATTTTTGAAGTTGCGAGGAGCATGGAGAGCATTGAAAGCAATTCATCTGGGAGCCAAATGCTTAATGGTTACCTCATGGCTACCTTGTTTTATGAGCCATCCACTAGAACCAGGCTTTCATTTGAATCCGCCATGAAAAGATTAGGTGGGGACGTTCTCACAACTGAGAATGCAAGGGAGTTTTCATCTGCTGCTAAAGGAGAAACGCTCGAAGGTATGTCCTGTCAATTAACGTTGCAATGTTTTTTTAGTGGGTGCATTTCATTGTTGTTCTATCTAAAATTGGAGTTTTGTGGAACTTTACTTCTTGCAGATACTATAAGAACTGTTGAAGGTTACTCTGATATAATTGTGATGAGACACTTTGAAAGTGGTGCTGCAAAAAGAGCAGCAGCAACTGCTAGCATTCCTGTAATCAATGCAGGGGACGGCCCTGGACAGCATCCCACCCAGGTATGAAGAATTTGCCGAAATTAGTAGAGTTTAGAAACCATTGCACAGAGAATGTCAAGTAGATATTATCATGGTATGATTTACTTTTCAAAGTAATCTTGAGCTGCGGCCTACATGGATAGAGTACTTTTTTACTGCAAAAATTGCATAGTTTGGCGTTTGCTATGCACCTTTTTGTTATAGCCATTTTCAGCATTGCATTGGATCGTTTGTTTCCGAGAATTGTTACTCTTCTTAAGGAAAGGAGGTTACATTTTTTGTATGTAAAGTGTATTACGTTGTGACAGAAACTTTAAAACAAACCCCTTAACTCTGCTGATGCTGTCACATGGTATTTGAAACAGAAAGGTTCATATCTTTTCCTTACAATTCCTGAGAAGTTGATTGGGTAGAACTGGTCTATAATTACCAATGCTATTAGTGTAAACTTAATTAATCGAGTCCTACCTTAAGACTTTGTTCAAGATATTGCACATTCTTTTCACCTGGGGGATAAGAAATTTATTCAGTAAACCCAAAAAGTGCTGGATGTACAAAAAGCCTGATTAGAAGCCGAAAACTGATTGAAGTACAAATCTTAAAATGTTTACACTTTTTTGGTGAAATGCTTGTGATCTAGAACATTATGGATTTTTCCACCTAAAAGTTCCTTCAATAACTTCTTATGTACTTTATTTACACTTTACAAGATGAGTCAATGTTTGTCTCTTCTTTAGTGTTTTTCATGTAGAGCAAGAAAATGCAGTCAAGGGGAAATTTTTATGACTTTATTGTTTGCCCTGCATTCTTCTAAAGTTTAATAATTTGAGTGGTAAATGCTTGATTTGATTTTTGAGCCTCAAAACTCTTTTCTTCATTAAACTGCACAGGCACTGCTAGATGTTTATACCATTGAAAGAGAGATAGGAAAACTGGATGGAATTAGAGTTGGGCTTGTGGGAGACCTTACTAATGGGAGGATTGTTTGCTCACTTGCATACTTACTAGCCAAGTATGAGAATGTGAAAATTTATTTTGTCTCTCCTAACGTGGTTAAAATGAAGGTAACTGCTGCTGCAAATTCTGGTTATGCCATGCCAAGTACACGACACAAGTTCTAAAATGTTTTTTGTTTTATCATAGGATGATATAAAAGAGTATCTGACATCAAAGGGAGTGGAGTGGGAAGAAAGTGCTGATTTGATGGAAGTGGCTTCTAAGTGTGACGTGGTTTATCAAACTCGTATTCAGAGAGAAAGATTCGGAGAGAACATTGATCTTTATGAGGAGGCACGAGGCAAGTACATTGTGAACAAAGATGTCCTGAGGGTGATGCAAAAACATGCTGTGGTTATGCACCCTCTTCCAAGACTTGACGAGGTAAAACACCTAGGAATTATTGACATGGCATTGTATCATGTATTCTTGTTATGAACACAAGCTTTGAGATTCAATAAACTAAATTCTTCCCATAATTTCATGCAGATCACAGTGGATGTTGATAGTGATCCAAGAGCTGCATACTTTAGGCAGGCAAAGAATGGTCTATATATTCGGATGGCACTCTTAAAGGTATTGCTTCTTGGTTGGTAAGGATTTCATTCACTTTTCAAAGTGAATGGAGTTATCTAAGGGTTTTCTTCATTTCCTTTTCTTGGATTTTAGCTTGTTTTTCTATCATGTTGACATCATTTCTCACATTTAGATCGATGTTGGGAGGTATTACATCTGCGTCTATAAGTAAATGGACGTGGTTACTCATGATGTATCTAAACTACTGTGTTTCCAAACACAGTTTTTTTTTTCTATCTCTAGGATTCAGAAAAAAAGTGACAATTAAAATCTTCTTTGTGAGTGAAAATTTCCTTCATATGCAGTCACCAACCTAAATGATACGATTAATTGGTGTATAAAGTGCGAGCTTAGTTTAAAAATGGATGTACAATCTTTTGTTCTTTGAAATTATTAATCATTGACGCGTTGCTACGCTAACATCATAACGATTACATCAATTAACAAGTGGAATATCACAAGGTAGAAAATTCCCATCGAACGATTACATCAATTAACTTCATTGCTACTATTATTAGAATGGCAGTTGGCTTGTGTATCTCTCCCCTATTTTAGTGTATCTTTTAATAAAATTATGGGTTTTAAATAACTTAAAATAGTAACTTTAGAATGTAGGTTCTCCACCTTCGTTCGTCTATTGTTAATATAGGTTTTATACTCGTTATAATAATAAGTAACTTCAAAATTTAAACTTCTACTTTAGTATTTTGAACAAAATATTTGATTATTTTATGTTGGAAATTTATTTTAATTTTCAAAAAACATAAATAGAGAGAAAATATGGACATACATTTCCCTTTTTTATACATGAGATCCACCCAAACCATTTCTCTTCTAAAAAAATGAAAGCCTACACTTGTATCGTAACTTAAGATAACTTAACATTAGATACTTCCATATTTGTAATATGATGTTACCACAGCAAACATACAAAAAGTAACTATTACAGCGTGAATTTTAAATTGTACCCAACAAAAAGAATCAGGTAAAAGGTAATAGGCTACAGTTTTCTACAACAATGCATGGCCAAGAGTATCGTGAATAACTTAAAATAGAAAACGGAAGCAGCATCACTGATTAATACAATAACTTCAAGCAGGAGTATAACTTGAAAGTATTTTCTTACACAGCTAAGGGTGTCAGCTAATATGTAGGGAACTTGGGATCCACGTTGTATGCCCAAGACTCTAAGCCCCCAACAATGTCCTTGGCAGATGTGAAACCCATTTTGTGAAGACACTGAACAGCCCTTTGAGAATCATTTCCCCTTCTGCACACTACATATAATTGTGCACCTGATCCAGAAACTAGACCACTGTCCTCTTTCTTCAAAGCTGCTGATATTTCAGGTAGCCGAGACTCTAACGTTGAGAGTGGAATGTTCAGGGACTTCGGTAGAGATACAATCTTGAAATGGTGAGCTGGTCTAACATCAACCAGCACATGTGGTTCCTTCTTAAGAATTATTTCACTGTATTCCTTGCTGCTGATTCTAGATTCACTCGGAAGTAGATGTAACTTCAAAGGAGGCTGCATAGGCAATTAATGACATTGAAAATATCAAAATAATTTCATCGAAGGCAATATTATTAACAGCAGTCTCATCCAATACAAAATAAAGTACACCCAACTTAGAACCAAGTTTATCTAAATACAGGAGAGGTGAAAGGCAAGAATAAAAAAAATACCACACGCAAGGGAGTCTCGGTGAACTTCTCATAATCAAATTCTTGGAATTTCTGCTGTGTAAATGTTGCATTTTCTCCACATGCTTCACAATGCATAGACCTTCCTCTAATTTTGACCTGTGCAATTAAAACATAATCAGTAACAAATAAATATGATCTTGCTATGGAAAACCCATAGTATAATTGTTTTGACTCATGTATATTCAGTGCACTACTAGAGGAAAAACATTCAAACAAATAATGAGATTTCATCAATTATTACAAATCATAAGAGGGTGTTGGCAAGATTGTGTTAAGAGAGAACGTCTCCAGCATTTCTCAAATCCTAATAGACATTGGAGTTCCTAACATACAATACGAATCCTTCCAGACAATGCATCCAAGAGAAGCATCCTTCCTGAGAGTGGTTCACCAACAGCAGCCGCAATCTTAATAGCCTCAAGAGCCTGGAGACAGCCAATTATACCAGGAACTGAAAATGATAAGAGCAAATGTCAAAAAAAACAGAAGAGTAGCCAGACAAAAAATAAAAAGGTAATAATGAGAAGTAAAGCAAGTTGAATGATAAAAAGTCCAGCATCTATAAATCATAGTTTAGCAAAATGAAATATAAATAAAACAACTTAAACATTCAAAACAAATTGAATCTTAGCCAATAAGTCTCACTAAAGGGAACCTTACTGCTAAACAAAGAATAAATCGCAATATGCCTCACATCACCCTTCTAGCTTACAATTCTTATTAAACTTCTTGACCCTTTGATTCCCCATTTTAAATTTCCTTCCTTGTATAGTATAGTACCATTCATGATATTAGAAAAACTGGTGGTTGTGAACCAGTGAATCTACAAAAAACCTTCCCTTCTTCAGTTAAACTTGATGGCTTAAAATATAAAGATACTTCCCCATTTATAGAGACAGATTTGGTAGAAAGGAATCACACAATCAGACTAAATACCTAGTTGTCACCAATAATTTAAGTATACATTACCACAAATCAATGACTCAACTTTGTAATGAACACAGGAGATCAGAAGAATTGTCTTTTGGTTGGCATTGTTTCTTATGTAAACATCTCTTAGACTAGCAATGAAAAGTAAAATTGATTCAGTTCACAAAAGCACTAGTAAATTTACCTACTCCAAGAACTCCACCCTCAGCACAACTTTGGCATGCCGTTCTAGGTGGTGGCAACGGAAAGAGGCATCTATAGCACGGACCACCTTTGTAATTGTAGACAGTAAGCTGAAGAATAAGTTTCCATTGTTAAAACTTAAATTATGCGACATAATCAAGCATACATGATGACTTGTCCTCCATAAAGAATTATGCAACTTAAATGCTCGAAAGAAAAAAAAAATAATTTAGACATGTACCTGCCCCTCCATTCCCAATGCAGCACCTGAGACAAGAGGCTGCATCATAAAAAAATAATTAATAAGTTGTCCCTTAAATCACATTACGTACATAGCTATAAAATAAATCCATATAATTGCAATTTTTCAAATTTATAAAAAAATTGATGCTTAGTGATTACAAATATTTTAAAGATAATAACTCATGACAGATACACTTTAAAATTATTAGTAGGCAACAGCGTAGGAGCAAGCATAACTTCCATTTTTTTTTAATGAATGTCAATATTATACAAAATAATGCTGACTTCGGAGTTGCATTCAGGGAGGTCAAAATCTTAGAATAACAAGTGAAAAGGCTCGTGTTGCATCAATTAAATTTGCTCATACATCAAAACATTAGCACTTACCTTTCCTAGTACCACGCAGCAATCACTGATCAAGTACCTGGTAGGAGCATTATCTGTTGCATCTACGATTATATCATATCTACCAAATTTGTATAATTAAAACATAGAAAAACATGGTTAGTCATAACATTCAATGTTAAATGCAAGCATAGAAGGAAGAGGCCTGAAGCAAAAACAAAGATCAATCAGATTATAGAAATTATACTTGCTAAGAATTTCCAAAGCATTAGAAGTCCGCAAAGCTTCTTCATGTTCCACAACTTCAATAGTGGAGTTGACCCTAACAATCAAAACATCTTAGTTCCAAGGACAATGATGATTCAAGCATTTGAAAAAAAAAAATATAATTCGGTTTGTCCACAAAAAATTGATGTGATGAATAGTAGTAGGTAAGAGAGCAACATACGAGAGACAAGCAGCAGCGGCAGATTTCACTTTTGGCTTACCAACATATGCTTCTGTGTGGATAACCTGAAACAAAGTAAGAACTTGTCAAAACTAATAATCGTAGTGAAGTTAAAAGAAAAACAGTAAATGAACACCAGATATAAACATATGAAAAATACACAAGGTACATGTTGTACCTGCTATGCCTAAAAGGGATGAGAGGGAAAAACAGACAATACTGTACCTGCCTATGCATATTATTCAGCTCAACCACGTCATGATCAACAATACCCAAGCGCCCTGAGTGTAGATTTTAAAAAGTAAGCTTCAAAATTGTATAGACTAAAACAAGAACGATACTTAAAAAGAGTGATATTTACCAACACCAGCAGCTGCAAAGTATAACAATGCAGGCGCACCCAATCCACCAGCTCCCACAACCAAAATCGATGACTTCAACAGATTTGCCTGCCCTGCTCCCGACAAACGCAAAAAATTATGAACATTTTCCACAAAAATAAAAGAGATTAGCAAATAGAGTTCTATGTCTGATGTCTATTTTTCCCAACACATGGCAAAAAGCAACACATTAAGATTACCAATTGTTATGGTTACCATAAAGCAATTGCAACATGAAACTGTACTATATTTAATACTTGAGCATACATATGCAATGAATACGATTATTCCTTCGTTAAGTTAAATATAGTTAAGCTAATGTAGCATGATAAGTAAGGATATAAAATATTGAAGACAAGACCTTCAACACCAAAGGAAGGAAGCATAAGATGACGACTGTATCTGTGGATCATGTCCTGCGTCAAACCGTTTGTGGGGTACGAAGAAGGATAAGAAGAGCCATTGGGGGGTGCGGCGTCGTTTCGGAGATTAATCTCTCTGAGTTGAGCTTCAAGCACAGATATTTTATCCTCAATTTTTGCCTTTGCATCCTTCAGTGAATCTAGTTCCCGGAGAATCTCCGACGCCGACATGGCAACACCGCAGACTCCTGTGACTTTGCACTCCCCTGATCCAGCGCCACACTCACCAAAACCAAACCAGGGTTTTTCTACCCGAAATTTTACTGTTCAAAATAAGTTTGGTGATGGATGTTTTAATAATTAATTATTCGTCCATATTTAATTACAAATCTGATTTTTAATATGAATATATTTTTTACTTTTGTGCTTGTAAGTCAATTTATTTAGTTTTCATATTCACTATTTTAATTTTTTAGTCCTTCTAAATTTTTTAAATAGGGGCTAAAAGAGATTATAAATAAAATATATAAATATTAAATAATACATATTCAAGAATTACAATTTTTTTTTCATTTCTAATCATTTCAAGATAAAATAAGTAAAATGTTTTATATTTAAAAAGATAAATTAAATTAAATATGTTGTTTTACAAAATATACTTTTAAAAAAAAATTAATACGATAACACTGTTCAACATTGTAAAAGAAAACTACTCGTTGGATGTTCCTAATATTTTCCCTAGCAAATTGGAAGCTAAAGTGAGTTGGAATATAAAATATTTTATAAGTATCTCAATATAATATTTAGTATACGATTATATTTTTAATAAAAAAATTAAAGTAAAATGTTAACATTTTAAGGTATCAAAAGTGAATTTTCTTATTAGTGTCTAAATATATCTTATTATTGAATGTGATGTTAAGATTTATGAAATGACAAGTAATCTAGTGATGCAATAACACTCGTAAAAAAATATGGCAAACTTACTTTTAAAACTCAAATTTGTCTATGTAATTAATCGGTTATATAATATCACATTTTTCAAATTGCTTTTTAACATCATCTCGTTTAAATTTATATGTATATTTTTTTTTTCATTAATGCATAAATTAAAAAGAATAATATATCCTTTATTGATTGTATATAAATAAGATAATTTTTAAAAAAATTATAGAATTTAGAATTTAGTATCTTAATTATTTTAATAGTAAACCTTTCTTGATTTCTAATAATACTTATTCTTTTGTGGTACAACTAATTTTTGTTTCCTTCTTAACCTTTGTCTCTACATCAAAATTTCTTAAATCTCAAAAAACTATCCATCAACATACTTTGACCATCAAAACAAGAAATAGCTAGTTGCACAAAATTGTCAGTAATTGACATATACTACTACACTCCCCTTCCAAGTTTACAATTGCAAATAGAGAATAATTAAGAAGAACTCTCTTACTATTGATTAAACAATAAATCTTTTAAATAAATAAACAAAAATTTGACTGAATAAAAAAAATCTAAAGTACTTCTTAAAAATAAGAAAAATAACCATCGTTAACACTCTTCCTTCTTACTATAAAAAAATAAAAACTTATCTAACTTCAAAAGGTCTTTTAAGCAATGGCAAAGACGTGAATATCTGCAGTATGTTCAGGTGTAATCTTGTCTTTTTGTTTTCTATACAAGCAGACATCAGACACCACAGTGCTAGAAAGACTTGAATTCCCATTACAATATTTTTAACAACTACTCACTCTCAAACATACACAGGGGAGAGAGAAATCATGGTTGGTGGTCACTTCCACACCATTCTCCATGCCACTTCAAGATCATCCTTGCTAAAGTCCACTACCAGTAAGCCATTCTTCAACAACACAATCAAGGTATCTGAGAATTTTAATTTCTCCTTTCACTCCTTCCACTTCAATTTCCCTCTTTCATGCAGTGTACTACTCTTTGTAATTGTGTTACCCACTTTCTGTGAAAAGTTTTATTCCTTTGTAAGAATAACCCCTCCAGGAAATTAAATTACACATATGAAAAGTTGAATCTTATGTTCATCATATTCAGATTCATTTTGCTTTTGGTTGGAAGCAAGTTTTAGTTAACTTTTTTGTGTGTTTGAGATGGAAAAATTCTGCAATTTGAAGGAAGGTTTTCAGTTTTCTGCATAACCCAGTTCTTGAAAGTGAAAATCTTGACGTAGGGTTGGATTAAAACCCTGAAAGGAATGCTGAAAGTGCAAGCAACTCAGAGGGGTTTGCTATAGGAGTAGTGAAAACTAATGAGTTTTACTGTGCTGCTGAAAGTGGTGTACTGGTTTTTGGTTATTGAACTAAGGAATTAATAATTTGTATCAGAATTATGGACAAGCAAGCAATGGAAACCGTAGCCGTTTGATGGAAGAGAGGGCACCCTCCACAGCTGAAGAATTCCAAAGAGTTGCTGAGGAAAAAGCCAGGGAGACGAAGGAAGGGGTAGCAACTCAGAATGTTGACAAGTTATGTGATGGTGCACAAATTGGTGACTCCAAGATTGGATCTGTCAAGAACTGAGATTATAATTTAGAAACCTTTTATCTGAGCTATCAGATTTCTATCTGTTATGTGCAACTATAATAAGATTATGTTATTTTCCATGAGCTTAATTGTAAGTGTTTTCTGCAGCAGCAGCAGCAGAAGAAGAAAAATAATTTAAGGTTTCAGTCTTTTACAGAGATATTATCAACCATTATGGGCCCATATGTGTTCATCCTTCATGTAACGTTTAGAAAATATAATAAGATTGATTTGATAGATTTAAAACCATGGAAAGAGAGATCGGTTTAACCCTCTTGTAACATATACTAGCATTGTGAATCTAAAAAAACTTGAAGTTCTGGGTTTCTAACTTTGGAATAACAAAAAATCTGGGGAAAACCTTCGACATCCTTGAAATGAGACTCTTCTTATTTTATCAGAGTATATGTCAAAGGTATTTATGTCAAAACATGAATATAGTTGAGATAATTGTAAACATAAATCTAAAAACAGTTAATGTACCTTTATTTATGTATATGAACTTATTTTTTAATTATGATAAACAGTAAATACATTTATGAGATATCTAAATAGATGTTTCAGCTATTTTGAACAAATTTTCAGACAGCAGTATCTCTTTTGGATAGATATATTATCTATAAGATTATTTTTTTTATCAAACAGTAATTTTATAATTATTAATAAAAATATTTTCTCATAAAGAATGAGTATGTTGAAAATCTTAAATCTATTGTATATATTAAACAAAAATGCATGGGAACAATAGCACTAAACAAGTTGGTTTGTACTTTAAAAATAAATTACATTATGTTTGGATCATCTCAGAGAAATAGGTAAGAGAGATTAAGCACTGATGAAAGGATTAACTAATTCATGTAAAAGACTTTGATATTATCTTTTATTTAAAACTTTATAATATCGAATTTGCATATATATATATATATATATATATATATATATATATATTGTTTTGTAATGAATAAAGAGACATGGTTGTAGAAGGTTTAATACATATATACCTCTCTATTGTGGTATTGTCTGTTTTAAATTAAATTTTTATGATTTTTTTTTTAGATCAGGTCAAAGTGTTTCTTATTAATGTTGGAAGTCTCACATCGACTAGAGATAAGGTCAATTCATACTTTATAATTGAGTGTAAACCTCATCCTACAAACTGGTTTTATGGGATTGAGTTAGGTTTAAGTTCATTTCTAACAACCAATTTGAAATCTCTTAGCAATGAAAATATGTATATACAAACTCACATATCTTGTTTTATCTTATAAAGGATTTTGTTTATATATGATACCAATACTTGGAAATTTATTGTTTTTAACAAGATTAGTTTGATACGTCTAATGTGTTGTATGACAGAGCAAAATAAACAATTGTGTGTATAATGTAGCTAGCCTTTTTCTTAGGTGTCAAAAGAAGTAAAATGTGATACTTATAAACACTTATTTTTGTCTTACAGTGATGTTCGAAAGGAAAATGTGTCTTTTCAGTGAAAGAAAAGGGTTGATGGTCCCTCCATTATGACCATGTTTATTTTTTGTGGTTGGGAGGTATCATCCACTATCATATACATTGGTATGAGAGGTAACATCACCAAACTTTACTACTTGGATGCCATTTACCATTATTTTCTTTCCTCTCAAATTAAATATAGATAAATATAAAGAAAATACTATATACAAAAGAAATCACATATTTATTATTATTAGATTTTAGGTCAAAAGTTACTTTTTTTATAAAGTTGAACTGTCTCATAGTTTAAGAATATAAATTTTTATATATAAAATATTTATATTTATTGTTCTATGTTTAAAAAAAATTCAATAAAACAATTCACAACAAACTAGTGTGTTTAAAATAGATGAAACTTGAATCTTGAATTATTAGATGGGAAACTCTTTTTAATACTTTTTATTCCCATTTAAATTATTGTTAGCTTTATTTATTGCATTGTATTAAGAAAAGAACATAATTTACGTATTTGTTAATTCTATTCTTATCCTTAACCGGTTCAAGCTTATCATTTAGTCTAATATGATCTTATCTTAACAAGCTTGTTCATTCTGATATTGTCTTGTTTGAGTTATCTTTTTGTGGATTTAAACTATATGCGTACACGTAATATATTTTTTCAAAAATGTGAAAGTATTATAAATATGTTTTTTGAAGAATTATATCTGTAATGCATGTGTGAACACAAAATTACTTGCACAACGTGTCTTAGTTTGTATGGAATACTATTTCATTGCATGAAGTGAGCATGGTAAATGGATTTGACTTAAATAGAACACAATGAAAGTAAATAAATTTAAAATATCATATTTAAGTTTAATAACCACAAAATAAAACCCATTGTTAAATCAAATCTTAAAAAAACACTACTATAAGAAAAATAAAAATAAAAATTCTAAAGTTACTACTGATTTAATCCTTCAATTTATTACTTTTTCCAAATCATAATTTATTTATTTTTAACAAAAAATTTGGACATGAGACTTGGTGGATTGGTGATTGAACATGTCGGTCCCGTTTTAACAAGCATACCTTCTATTATTTATGATTGAAAAGATAACACAAGATTGAATAGTATAGTGTAGTTGGTTGGAAAAAAAAAAGAAAATAGTGTAATGTATTTCATTATTTCTCATATATATTTTTAAAATTTTTAATTATTTATTTTTGGAAGAACGTGAGTAATCATCATTAGTGTAATCTCTTCTTCATAATTACATTCTTTTCATCAGCCACGATATTCAAACTCAAAATCTTACTTATAAGAATCTTGGTTGTCACTTTATTCAAATTCAAGATTTTGCTCTAGTCATTTTCACTTTCATTTCCATTTTCTTAACACATTTATCCGTTTTATTGATGTTTTAAATTCATATAAACTGTAGCGTTCTTGGTAAATTATTTACTTATTCTACACTCCTAACTTTATTTGGAATTGTAAAATCAACGAGAAAAGAAATTAGGGAAAGGAAATATATATTATTTTTTAGTATTAAGAATCTTGGGTTCTCAATTGGATGAGAGTACGGGAGTGTTCTGCTTGTTTATTTGTAATATTATATCATTTTAATAGCATGTAAAATATAATATTTTTTATATTAAAGCAAAAAAAGGTAGCAAACAGAATACTTTTTAATACTGTTTGTTTTTTTATTTTTATCACCCCTTTCACAGATCTAAATAAGGAAAATGATTCACTTTCTTTTTTATTTCTATTCATCTGCATCACATATTTTTTTCACTTTATTTTTATTCTCCCCAATATTTAACTCCGACAAAAAAACTGAATATTAATAATGTAATAATGATGATAAAATCTTTCATGCATTGGATGAATAGATATCGTGCGATGAAAAATTAAAGCAGTGGGCCAAGTCACACTTTGGCACTCAAATTCAAAGAGAGGATGATGAAAATCATTACATTTATTGTATTTTTTTTTTCTTCCTTTGAGAGTGGATCGGAAAAAATTTGAAAGGATTTGAAGATAAATTTTTTTATCGTTTATTTGAGTGAATTTAAAGATAAATAAAAGTGAATTTGAAAATAAAATTTGTAAAAATTAGTATAGAATTGTATTGACGTGACAAATTAAAAAAAAATTATTTCCAAATTCACTCTCATTTATCTCTAAATTCACTCAAATAAACGACAAAAAAAATTATCTTTAAATTCTTTCAAATCCTCTCGGATTCACTCCCTGAAATTCATTAAAAAAGGCCTTAAAGTAATTCAGCACAGAAATTGTTAAAGCAAGAGAGAGAAAAAGAATAAAATAAAAGGCTTTGCTTTTACTGAAGAGTTTAGTTGCTTCACTTCATCTTGTTCCTCCAACCCTTGGTAGAATGTAAGATAGAAGATGACACGAGTTTGTTAGGTGAAAATAGAATGAAATATAGTGAACCAACTCTCAGTACATGTGGCCACAAGCCCATGAGAAAGTTCGGCAGGTTCATATATTCAAATACATCATTAAAAACCATATTTTTTTAGGCTGGGAGTCCAAGTAATAGAACTGAGTAAATTGATATAAAAATAAAAATTTATTAATCTATTATTTTAAAGTTTTAGATTAATAATAATGTCTATTTTTTACGTTATAAAAGTAAAGTATTATATAAGATTAAAAACTTATTATTTTATCATCAGGTTTTTGATTAAAAACAATATTAATTTTTTATATTATTAGATTTAAGTTTAATTAATGTTGTATCTGGTCAATATAACTTTTTTTCTATAAATGTAACATATTATTCTTTATTTAAGATACTTTTTTATGATTGGTTTTGTTTCTGACATATAAATAAGAAAGATTATGTAATAAGAGTTAATAAAATGATCATTTTACGTAATCACTTAAGAATAAATCAATTCTCTTATTCAGAAAATGACACATTTATTAAAAAGATTTACTGAAAATATATGAATCAACTATATAAATTTAATTTATATGAATAATGATCAATGATTTTAATCCAAAATTATATTTCAAAAACATTGTTGAACTTTGTTAATTTTATATAATATATGACATATACTAGGGTTTTATCTACAAATCCAAAAATCACTAAATCTTTCTTTGTAGTAAGAGTTTCTATTGTTCTCTCTTTTCTTCTCTAAAAGAAAAAGGCATTCCCTTCTCTTTCTTTCTTTTCTTTCTTTCTTTTGTTTAAAGTTTCTAAGGTTTCTAAAATACACAAATTGTCACCCTTCTATTTATATCTTAATATTTATAAAACAACATAATTCTATCTTTAATATCTCCTCCCTTATAATAATATATTTTAAAAACTAAATCTATCTAAATCTCTATTATCATTCTATCTTATGTCCATCAACTATCTTTAATTTTTTTTACACACTTTTACTTCCTATATCTTCCTTGTTTAATTTTTTTACCAGTTAAATAAAGGTAAAAGACCATTTTGCCCATAAACAAAAAATACAAATAAAACTAAGATTTTCCTTAACTCCCTTTCTCCTTATAATTGAAGTCACACCATTTAATCCTAAATCACCATTCTATCAACAAAACAATACATCACATTGGTAATATCATATACACACAAATCCTAAATCAATAACATATCAATCATGTCTTGTATTTAATTAAAATAACATTAAATAATTAACATAATTATGTTTTAACAAGATATTTCA